CCATTCCTTGATTTGGTAGAAAGCAAATTTCAAGCGACAATTAAATGACCAATTTTTGGAAAGACATTACAGGAAGCTGTTTTCTTAGATAGTTCAGAGATCTCTCGATCACGGAACCATCAGATTCTAACCTCAATGCTTCAGATATCCCTCCTATCAAAAAGCACAATTTTTAGCATCCCTCTATATTTCTTTTCACCCTATTCATAGATAAAGCAAAGCATCTTTTTGAGTGATGGAATGGCAGCAAAAAGAAACATTAATGGGAGGGTATCTTCATGTGTACGCTTTTATGTGCTTTTGGAAATTTCAGCCATACTTTATCTAAAGATGTCAAAAAATATCATAGTTAGAAAGTTCCGAGAGAAGTTTTCGAATTTTCAGAAGATTCTGCGAAGGTTTGGAATGTGAATCTAAGGAGGATCTTCTGAAAGTAATCCGACAATTACAAGATGAGAACAGACGTTTTTCAATGTCCAAATATTCTGGATTGCCATCAGCTGCAGTTGTTTCTTTACAAGATGCGGCTGTCACTACAAGCAGGTATCTGGGCTATGGGAATAGGTAAATATCTTTATATTTTTTCAAATTATTTTAGATCTCCCCTTTTCACAACAAATTCACCTAATGAGCAATGTGACATCTGTTCCTCTCAACCTTGCTATAATGGAGGAACTTGTCATGTCAGTGCAGCTAGTCCTTGGAAATCCTACTGGTGGGTTTTTTTCAAGAACGGAAATGTTAAAAATATTGTCATAGTCAGAATGATTAATTCTTGCGAGACCTTACTATATCTATAGTAGAGAGGATCAAAGAACATAATGGCGCCTAAATATGACTATATGTAATCTATATTTGGATCAGTTGAGCTTAAAAACAGTTATAATCTAGTTCAACTTTTGTTCTGAAGACCATTACCTTCAAGGTGCGAATGTCTACCATCATTTGCTGGAACACAATGTCAGACTCCAATTGTCTGTCAGCCGGACAGCTGTGGACGAAATACGAGTTGCTATGTTGCTAACCATCAGCTGAATTGTATTTGCAAGGACGGCTACAGCGGTAAAACTATGCCTTTTTTGCTCTTTGCTGATTACTTGAAAGCATTCACAAACGTTTTTTTTCAGGAGATCCAAGACGAGGATGCACAATGAAGACAAAACAGACCTGCCTCAACGGTGATCCTCATTA